CGCCTGTAGTTCCAGCTACTCAGAAGGCTGAGGCGGAAGGATCGCTGGAGCCCAGCAGGTTGAGGCTGCGGCGGCCGGGAGCGGCCACTGCACTCCAGTCTGGGCGACAGAGTGAAACTCCACCTCAAAAAAAAAAAAAAGAATTGAGGCTGAGTGCAGTGGCTCATGCTTGTAATCCTGACACTTTGGGAGACCAAGGAGAGAGGAATTTGAGACCAGCCTAGATAACATAGTAAGTCTCGTCTCTACCAAAATATTAGTCAGACATGGTGGTGAACACCTGTAGTCCCAGTTACTCAGGAGGCTGAGGAAGAAGGATCAGCTGAGCCCAGGAGGTTGAGGCTGCATTGAGCCGTGAGTGTGCTACTGCACCCCAGCCTGGATGACAGAGTGAGGCCCTGACTCAAAGAGCAGCATCTCTGGGAGAGCTCTCTAACTCTAAGCTAAACATTGACTTGTCCTCTCTTCTTCCCAGTTCCCTACTCTTTTCCCTCAGCTCCTTCACCTACTTGAAAACATTGCCCCTTAGGATCATTGCCCAATTCCCAGTTTATTGGTATTCCTGAGCTGCAGTGTGGGAAAACAATGGAAATGGAATGTCTAATCATGAGTTGGGATGGGTCCTGACCCTATTCTCCTTCCTGTCCAGGTCCAATGAAGCGCCAAGTGGCAGTAAAGTCAACCCGAGGATTTGCTCTTAAATCAACCCATGGCATTGCCATTAAATCAACAAACATGGCCTCCGTGGACAAGGGGGAAAGTGCACCTGTGCGTAAGAACACACGCCAATTCTACGATGGTGAGGAGTCTTGCTACATCATTGACGCCAAGCTTGAAGGCAACCTGGGCCGCTACCTCAATGTGAGACCCCTTCCTCCTACCTCTCAATGCTGGATTATCCCATGGTCCTCAGGTTTCCAGTTCCTTTAACACTCCATAAACCCACTTTTTCTTGTTATAAATTCTTGATCTCAAAGGATCTTAAGAGGTAGCATTCTCTTAAAACATCTGCCATGATGGGGTGGGTCAGGTAGCATCATTTTTTTTCCGAGTCTCACACCACAAAGCCAGATTCTGTTTCCCTGGCTCTTACTGGATCCTGTCCTTAAACCCACAGCACAGCTGCAGCCCTAACCTGTTTGTCCAGAATGTCTTCGTGGATACCCATGATCTCCGATTCCCCTGGGTGGCCTTCTTTGCCAGCAAGTAAGGAGTCATGAGATTGGGTGATTGGGGAGAGAGGATCGTGGAAATTCTCAGGGCCCCTTTTCCATCATCAACACAGCTTCACCTACACACTCTGTAGCCCCAGGGGTGTGGTTATCTGCTGTCTTCTCACACCCTGTCCTTTTCTTCCTCTTCAGGAGAATTCGGGCTGGGACAGAACTTACTTGGGACTACAACTACGAGGTGGGCAGTGTGGAAGGCAAGGAGCTGCTGTGTTGCTGTGGGGCCATCGAATGCAGAGGACGTCTCCTTTAGAGACAGCTTCTTCCTAACCTTCAGAACTCTTCTCGAACTGTCCTTTCTTCAGGAACTCAGTCTTCCTGACTGTTGAACTCTGGCCCCAGGTCTCTGGTCTAGCTACTCCCCCTCAGCTCCTAGTAGATAGAAATAGGGGTTCTAGATCAGAAGATACCTTCTGGTGTGGTGCTAGCAGGCAGGCTCCCTCTCCACCTCCTAAGGCACTACACGGTGGGGAGAGGTGACCACTCTAACCTAGGCCTGACGTCCCTCCCGTCCCTTATTTGTTCAGTTGTTCATGCTTCTAACAGACTTTCTTCCTGGAATGGAGGTTGTATATCTTCTATTCCTGGTTTGTATCGCTTCTTGAAAGATGACAAAACTGAGATTGTGATCTGGTTTCTGCTCTCAGCCCAATATTCCCAGTTCATCTTACGGTGAGTGATCTGTTCCCCCACCCTTCGCATGGGCTGCTGTCAATTCTTCTATGTTTGCTTTTTCTCTTTTGCCATGTGAAATTTTTAAAAGAATGTTACATAACTGCAAGGAAGGCATAAGAAAGACTATCTTAGTTTATTTAGTTGATCCCCCTTCTCAATTCCTCATAGTCTGACACTTGTTGCCATGTTTTATTTACTCTTTAATATATTTTAATTAAAAAAAAACCATTAACAGTACATTTTGGTCTGAAATGGTCCCTCTGCTGAAATGCTAGGTGCTAGCTGTAATTCTGGCTTTAAAACCAAAACCCCAAATATTTAATAAATAAAAATTAGAATTAGTTGCCCTTCTACTCCAAACCAGCTAGTCTAGTTGAAGAGAAGAGGGAAGGGGAAGAGGCCAGAGAAAGGAGGCAGTCAGATCCTGGGCCTGTGGCTGCAGGGACAGCAGGCTGGGAACTAACACAAGGAGAGATCATCCGAGCAGTCCCTAGTACAGTCCCCACTTTTTGGCAGAGGTGCAGTAAAGGTCACATGGACCCCCCCCCCACTCAATTCATCTGTGTCTCAGAGTGAAAAAAGTTAAAAGCTCAGCTTTGGTTTCTGGCCCAAGTTAGGGAGCTTAGAATGGTGAGCCTTGGTCCAACTTTGGCAGAATGAGGCCCACAGATGGGACAGTAAGGCACAACCCTGGCTCTGGAGGCCAGGGAGTCAAGGCAAACAATGAAGGCCCAATTCTAAGAGTAAGGAATGTGAGTATAACCCCTACCCCGAGCAGAGGAAGGGTTTCAAAAGCAATAGTAAGGATAGCTCGGAGGATAGAGAGGAAAACAGGACTATCCCCCCTCATACAAAGGATATATCCAGCCTCCCCTCTGCCTGGGGATCGGCTGGTAAGAATTTGGTTTGAAGGCAACTGGGTGACAAAGCAAGGAGGAAGGGTACAGAGATTGTTCCTCTCACTTTCTCCTTTCTCCCCAGAGCTGAAAGTGACCCAAGAGGGAGGGCAGGGTAGTTCCTTGGCTTTATGCATTCATCTGGGAGGCAGCTGGCATCATGGTTCAGTCATTCTTGCAATGGTTGTTATTGAGGATGGGGTGGCCATTGGCTAGGGGCCGGCTCTTTGCTCCTCCCCCGGCCACAGCCTCCTCCCCCTCTGAGCTCTCCGTTTCTTCCCGGTCACTGCGTTCGTCTTCTACCAACTGTGGAAAGGGAACAAGAAGGGTTGCCAGATACCCTCCGAGGGCCTGTTCCTGCTATACTCAGGGCCTCACCCTAGTTTTTTAGAGGGTTGCTGGCATGACGGGGAGTTCGGGAAGGTCTGGGGTTGAGAAGAGTAAGTGGGGGCAGAGCCTTCACCTTTCCAGTTATGAACTTGTGGGCCATGCGCAGAATGAGGTAGGCCCAGAAGATGTGCAGCAGCTGTAACACGCCCATCATGGAGTTGAAGAAGTAATAGCCAAAGAAGGCCGGGTAGAGCTCCAGTGGGTACACCAGGGTGCAGTGCAGTATCCTGAGGATTAGAGGGGAGACCCAGAACTGTCAACACGGATGGGGGAGAAAGGCAGGACTCCTGAGTTCTTGAGAACAGCCTGGCTTCCTACTCACCAAAAGGGCAGGATGACCAGTCGGGTGATGATGAAAACAACGGCGAAGATGATGAAGATGTTGTTGCAGGTGTTTTTCCATCCCGCATAGTTAAACATCTTGGCTGACTGCACAGATAGCTGATCCGTCACCATGGGCTCCCGACTCCCGGGATGCTCAGATGTACACCCCAGCTAGCCGCCCTGGCTCTGGGCCCCCTCCCCTGGTCCCAGGAACGGCACCCCCAGGCCCCAAACCAAACCAAAGGGACAAAAGAACCTGCACTGGGGTCTCTGGGTGTGAGGAAGCCTAACCTCCAGCAGGTAGTCGGAAGAGTCATGCAGAGCCATGATGAGGGTGCCAGCTCGGATGTAATTGGCAAACCAGGAGAAGCTGATGAGGATAATGGTGGCCACGTGGTGGATGATCTGTTCCTTGAAATCCTGCAGAAAAGAGGCAGGCTTTAGGGGACTTTCCTCCCCAGCCCCTACTGTTCCCCTCCCCCCCACCTTTTGCTCCCCATATCCCAACAGCTCCATCCAGAGACCCAGAAGTCAAGGGAGGGAGAGGGCGTTCGTCCCGGGGCCTCAGCTCAGCTCTCGGGCTAAACCGCACAGCCGCTTCACGCACCTTTCGCTTGACATCAGAGGCAATGCTGAAGAGCAGGGACCAGTAGAAGGAAAGTTCAATTATGTAGTACCAGTACTGGGAAGGGACAGTGCTCTGGGAAGGGGGAGAGGGAAGAGCAGCTAGACCCAAGGGTCTCAGCGCGCCAAGCCCAGCCCTCCAGCCCCTGGGGTGATTCTCAGTTCCGCAGCTCTAGTTTCTCTTCTCATGGGTGTGTATGTCTTAGTCCACCCCACAGGAGGAAGGACTCTGCTCATACCTGTATGGGATAGCCCTCCCAAACTTTCTTCATGTCATAGAACCAGGGCTTCTGCAGAGAGACGGAGAGAGGTTAAAAGAGGAGGAGCCCACATTCCTGGCCTCACCTCACCCTGCCAGAGAATCTGCTCCCGTGTCCCAGTGATTCCCACTCACATCCACAATGACAGCCATGCCAGCGATGAAGGCAATCAGGTAAAATGTGAACCTCCAGCTGGAAGAGGAAGCAGAAATGGCCAGGGTGAAGAATGGCATGACCTTCCTGAACCCCTGGTGCCTGCAGGTGCCCTCCCAAGACACCATGAGTAACTGAATTCACCTCATCTCCCCGGCCGCAGCTGCAGCCACGGCCCACCCCTCCCGGCAAAACAAATCAGCCCTTCCTCTGCTTCCCAGCTCCTTTTGCCCCAACCTCTCCCACCTGGCTTCTCGGAACTTCTTGAGGAGACTGGGCCGGTCCTGGTTGCGGCGGCGGCGGAACCAGCGCTCCACCTGGCGGCCAGAGAGCCCACTCTGGCGGGACAAAAGCTCCACCTCCGCCTGGGCACAGGGAGAAGCCCGTCATGTTTGGCCTCAGATCATCACAGCGTCCCCCAGCCTCTCCCAGGGATGCGCCAGTCTGCACCACCACTCCCCGTCTCTTCACCCCCCAACCCCCCCCAGCTGGCATGTGACCCCTTCTGCTCCCCACCAAAACTCTACTTCCTAGAGCCGGAACAGCATGCAGCGCGTTACCTGCTTGGGTTGCTTGCCGCTGGTCAGGTAGAAGTGCTCCAGGGTGGCATTGGGAGGTGCCCGCAGCCGAGTTTTCTCCTTGACATTCAGGAGGGCAGCCAGAGGCGTAGCCACGTAACTGGGGAAGAGACAGGAGTGAGATACCTGGCTCGCTGGGAGGGGAAAGGACTTCACACTTGGACAGCTCTATTCTGGGCCTCAGTTTCCCCATTTTCCTGGCAACCCTTTTCCTCTAGCCTCCCAGGCTGCCCACAGCTGACAAAGCGGCCTGTGTTCACTAGTGGCCGGGCGGGGTGGCGGGTGGAGGATGAGAACAAGTAACCATTGAAGGGAACGGCCTGGGGGTGCCGAGCCCTTGGGAAGACAACAGTGCCTCTGGGGGAGGGGGACACCCAGTGGGCAAAGACCTGGGGAGCAAAAACACCAGGGTCCGGGGCTAACTAAGCAGTTGTAGACAAGCTTGACGCCCAAGAAACTGGCCGGCCGCGAGGGACGGCGTGCGGGGAGGTTGGCGGGGAGGTTGGCGTGCTCACAGCTCAAAGAAGTGTCGGATGATGAGGAAGAGCAAGGCCAGGGGTAGTGTGACATAGAGGTCAGAGGCTTTGGCATAGACACGTCCATCCCGGTCTTCTAGATCGGCCCAGGTTAAGTTCACAGGCAGCCACAGCCGCTCCCACCAGAAGTAATCGTACAAGGTCTGGAGCATCCTGAGTGAGGGGGGAAGGCACAGGGCATCAGGAGGGGCAGCTGTGGGGAAAGAGAGAGGTGAACGCTTTCACGGTGGATCCAGAGCAGCAGGGGCGGAGACTCAAGCCTGGAATCCCGGTCAGGGAGATGTGGCCTCAGGCAAGTCAGTTTCCTTAGCTGCAATCTGGTGGCTTTCCAGTGACATTTACTATACAGCAACCCAAGGAAATGCAGACATCCCACAAGTCCCAATTGCCTGGCATTAAGACCCTGGGGTCTGCTGGGAGAAGTGGCTCACGCCTATAATCCCAGCGCTTGGGGAGGCCGAGGCGAGAGGATTGCCTGAGCCTATGGGTTCGAGACCCGCCTGGGCAACTTGGTGAGACCTCCTTTCTATAATAAATCAAAAAATTAGCCGGGCATGGTGGTACGTGCCTGTAGTTCCAGCTACTTGGAAGGCTAAGGTGGAAGGACTGCCTGAGCTATGCAGGTCGAGGCTGCAGTGGCCATAAGTGGGCCACTGCACTCCAGTCTGGGTGACAGAGTGAGACTCCAACTCAAAATAAATAAATGAATAAATATCCTGCGGGGTCTTCATCGTGTTGCTACCCTAACCCAGAGGACCTGGCACGAGAAGCCGTAGCCAAAAATCTGAGTAAAGTCTGAGGCATCCTTCCTTCCCCACCACTCTTGGGCTACTATACCCTCCGGCCCCCAGACCAACTCACAGCTAGACGCTTCCCTGGGGTACGGGGATGGGAAGGAGTTAACACTTGGCAGGGCTGGGGCAAACCATTCCTCCCTTTCCCTACAACTCATCTGGGTAGCCAGTCCCTAGAGAAAACTTAAGAGGCCAGAGTAAAGCAGAAGTATGTCCCCAGCCGGGCTCGGTGGCTCAGCCTGTAATCCTGCACCTTTGGGAGGCTGAGGTGAGTGGATTGCCTGAGCCCGGGGGTTCGAGACCCGCTTGGGCAACTTGGTGAGACCTCATCTCTACAATAAATTTAAAAAAAAAAAAAATTAGCCGGGCGTGGTAGTGCGTGCCTGTAGTTCCAGCTACGTGGAAGGCTGAGGTGGAAGGCTGAGGCGGAAGGATCGCCGGAGCCCAGCAGGTTGAGGCTGCGGTGGCTGGGAGCGGCTACTGCACTCCAGTCTGGGCGACAGAGTGAGACGCCAACTCAAAAAAAAAAAAAAACAGTAGGTGGAGACTGCTAATTGCTATGAGGGTAAATTAAAAAAAAAAAAAAGTATGTCCCCGAATGATGCTGAGCTCAAGAACTATCAGTGGGCTGTTTCCTTTGTCCATGCCACCAGCTCTGGATGTTTCCCTTTCTTTTCTCCTTTCTTTCTCTAATAAACTTTGTTTGAAAACTTTAGACTGGGTGCAGTGGCTCACGCCTATAATCCCAGTACTTTGGGAGACCAAGGTGAGAGGACTGCCTGAGACCACGTGTTCGAGACCACCCTGGGCACTTGGTGAGACCCCATCTCCACAATAATTCAAAAAATTAGCCAGGTGTGGAGGCACACACCTGTAGTTCCAGCTACTTGGGAGGCTGAGGTGGCAGGATGGCCTGAGTCCAGCAGGTCAAGGCTGCTGTGGCCGTGAGCGTGCCACTGCACTCCAGCCTGGGTGACAGAGTGAGACTCGACTTGGGAAAAAAAAAAAAAAGAAAACTAAGAAAAAAAAAAACTATCAGTGGACATCAGAAGATTACTGCACACAGGTCGATACCACGTGCCAAGCCATCCAGTCCCAATACATAAGGCGGAAGACTTCAGAAAGTGAAGGCAGGACAGCAGAGGATTAGGGGACAGGGACAGGAAATCAAGACAGCAGACCAAGACAGCTGGTGGAATTAAGAGCTATTTCTTTCTTTTTTTTTTTTTGAGTTGGAGTCTCACTCTGTCACCCAGACTGGAGTGCAGTGGCCGCTCCCGGCCACCGCAGCCTCGACCTGCTGGGCTCCGGCCATCCTTCCGCCTCAGTCTTCCAAGTAGCTGGAACTACAGGCGTGCGCTACCAAGCCCGGCTAATTTTTTATTTATTGTAGAGATGAGGTCTCGCCAAGTTGCCCAAGCAGGTCTCGAACCCGCGGGCTCAGGCAATCCACTCACCTCGGCCTCCCAAAGTGCTGGGATTACAGGCTGAGCCACTGAGCCCGGCCAAGAGCTATTTCTTACAAAGCCTGAGCCAGAAAGTAAAACACTCATCTGCCGGGGAACACCAAACCCCCTCCGCCAGGGAAGAGCTGCCTCATCACACCTCCTCCCCCTTTCCTCCACTGAAAGAGAAAGGCACGGGGTGGTAGTGACCCCTGGATACCCAGAGTCAGGAAAGAATAGTCTGTGGCTCATGGGGAACAGCAGTAGCTCAATGCTGAGAGAAGCAGCGAGATGACCCCGTAGAGTTCGGGATGCTGGCCCTGGAACAGCACCTGGCAGTCCTAGGACTCAGCGACAAAGGCCAGTAGGGTAACCTGGGCAGTCTTCTCCAGGCTCCCCACCCCTCCTTCTCGACCCAGAGGGAGCAGAGGTGGTGGCATTCAGGATGGCCGAGACAGAAGGAAGGTGGTCCCCTCCCAGCCCAGGAGGAAAGAGAGTGGGGAGATGGTTACCCACTGTGAACTGGAGGCCGACGGGTCTTGCTGACTGAAGGCTGAGCCCTGAGACCACTGCTGTGCCGGGCTGGTCCTCGGCTGCTCCAACAGCCCCAGCTCCGCCCCTACCCACCACAGAAGCCCTTGCGAAATCCCTCGGCCTGTCACGGGTCAGTATCCAGCTCAAGGACTTTACCCTCTTGTCCCCACTCCTGGTCACTGCTCTCTCCGATGAAATCAGAGGGCAGCACTGACAATGAAGGAGCGTCAGCCCCACCTTCCCCCTGCTCCTCCCCCAACCCTCCCTCCACACATTCCAGGCCCTTCCCCCTCCACCTTAGCCAGAATAAATATTTAATTAGTTAAAGAGATGGAAGGCTTTGGAACTGAACAAAATGTAAATGTAAACTGAGCAAAAATACAAAAATTAAGTGTAATGACCCACAGTGGAACGTTCCCCACACAAACACGCACACTCTTCTCCTAGAGAAAAGTGGCAGAAAACAGGGCAGAGAAGGGACACACAGAGTCTGCACCTAGATGAGTCCGCACTCCCCCCATTTCTTGCTTAGCCTGAGGGAAGTGGGAAATACGCCTGACCCAGGCACCTGACTGCACTTTCTCAGAGCCCAATTCTTCCTCCAATGAAATCTACAAGGGGACAGGCGGTCCCAGACACTGGGTCCCAACTCCAGGAGGGTCATTGAAAACGGTACGGCATCAGGAACATTTGTATACCTGACCCTGAATTTGTACCCCACATCTTTAAAAGAAAAAAATTTTTTCAAAAGAAAGAAAGAGCCAGGCTCGGTGGCTCAGCCTGTAATCCGGCGCCTTGGGAGGCTGAGGTGAGTGGATTGCCTGAGCCCGCGGGTTCGAGACCCACCTGGGCAACTTGGCGAGACCTCATCTCTACAATAAATCAAAAAATCAGCCAGGCGTGGTAGCGCGCGCCTGTAATTCCGGCTACTCGGAAGGCTGAGGCGGAAGGATTGCCGGAGCCCAGCAGGTCGAGGCTGCGGTGGCCGGGAGCAGCCACTGCACTCCAGTCTGGGCGACAGAGTGAGACTCCAACTCAAAAAAAATAAAAAAAGAAAGAAAGGAAAGGAAACCGGCAGGATGTCTCTTGTGAGGGGAATTTTGGGAGTTAAGGATTCAGAGGGCTGGCGGGTGGGAAGAGCCCCTCTTGGTCTCCAAGGGCTACACCTACAAGAGGGAGCGAGGCAGAGTGGTGTCAGAGGACAGCTGAGGGCAGCCACCCGAAGAGTGTGACATCTCAACCCCAGGACAAGACAGTACCTGTCCTCTCCTCCTCCAAGTGAAGAGAGTGGGGGAGAGGAGTGAGAGAAAAGGGCAGGGTGCGTAGGGATTTGGAAATGCAGGTTAATGGGACTCTCACACCTGAGTTTCAAGCTTTCTGCGACCACAGCCCTCCCTTGTCATCCTGTCCATCAGCAGAGCACTCGCTCTCACGGGCCTCACTCACACACCTCCACAGAACCGAGGAGTTTTGTGTGAGTCTTGGCACCAGCAAACCCAGCCACGCAAGGGATCCCAGAAACAAGAGGCTGGGGAGAGAGAAGGGGTTGTGCCCACAGGGTGAGGAGGGGACCCTGCTCCTCAGACCCTCTTGGCCCTCAGGCAGTGACTTGATTTCTTGCCAGAAAGTCACATCTGCAGCCACCTTTCCACTCGAAGCTGACTCCCCCCACAAACAAGGACACGCGGTGTGTGTGTCAGTCTGTCTCTTTCACGCACGCACACACACACCTGCCTCAGAGACACAGAAGCCACTTTCCGAGGCCCAGGCTGGAGAGAGGCCAGGAGAGCAGGGATTTCATGGGCATTGGATTACCAGGAACTTGAGCGGGGCTCCGCCCAGCTCCAACCTTTGCCCCAACTCTGTCGCGGCACCAAGACCCTCCTGGGTGGATGAAAAGGAGCAGAGGGAGGGACCCTGTGGGGGCTTGCAGACCCAGAGGGCTGGGAGGACAGAAGTTTGGGCCTGTGAAGAAGGAATTCACCCAGACTCCATGTGATGATGGTCCCCCTGGCTCTCGGAGGTGAGAGAAATAACTGAGGAAGACAATAAAGCAGGTCATCGAGGGAGGACAGAGTGACAAAGAGGGGGTCCCGCAGCTCCCCACTGCCACTGAAGCCCGAGGGACCACAAAAAGGAAGGGAAGAAGTCCTGAATAGTCTTCCTTGTTAAAAATGTTCTTTTCAGCCAGCAGCAGCAGGTCATGAACTAGAAGGCTGCAAGCCATGGATGAAGCCGAGAAGAGGTGTGTCACTGCTCCCAGCCGCAGTAGAGGCCCCAAGATTTAGGTCAGATATGGAAAAGATGTGGGTGGGAGGCAGCGAGGTCCTCCGGGGCCCCCCTCGGGCCCACAGCTAGTCTGGAATGTCCCACCAAAGGTCCCAATACACCTAAACAAACGCGGCTACAGCCCCCAGGGACCAGGAGAGGCTGCAGGTCCAAGAGGCCGCTGGAGGCGGTGCTGGAGGACACAGTGAAGAATCAACCAAGCCTGTGGCCAGTGACAGGGGAAAGAGGAGTCCCTTCCTCCCAGGGGAAAGTCTGGCCAGAGGCCCCAGTGAGGGGAGTGGAGCGTG